CTTTTGGATGTGGATGCATCAACAAAATGTACATCATCCCCCCTACAGAAAACTCATCCGTGGGTAACGGTGATTGAGGGTGGGGGCACAGGGGGGGACTGCGGGGGGAGGCTGAGGGAACAGGGTCAGGGTGGGGGCTGGGGGCAGTGGGTCGGGTGAGATGATGGGGGGAGGGGAGAGACTGTGGGGGAGGCAGAGGGAACAGGGTCGGGGGGCTGAGGGCAGTGGATTGAGGGTGGGAGGCACGGGGGGACTGCGGGGGAGGCTGAGAAACAGGGTCAGGGTGGGGGCTGAGGGCAGTGGGGCTGAGGGGAGCCCCCCAGAGGGACCTGCCAGAGGGTCAGGTGAGCCCAGCAGTGCTTACCTGGAGCGGCTCCCAGGACGCATCCAGCAGGCAGGTCCCTCCCAGTCCCTCTGGCTCCTTCCTACGGTTGGGTCGGGTCGAGGGGAAGGGAGCCGGGGGGGGTCTCTCTGCCCGAGTCTACAAGCCCCGCCCCGCTGCAGCACGCAGGGGAGCAAGACCTCCTCGCTGCCTCTCTGTGTGCCGGGGGCAGGGGCAGGGCTGCACTCTGCAGGCTCCTGTCAGTCAGGCGGGGGGCCCCGTGGGCTGACACCGCCGCACCGGGAGCTCTCAGCTGTGCGCTGCCCCAGGGCCCAGGGAGGAAAGGTGAGTGGTGCCGGCTTGCCACGGTTCCCCCAGCGCGGCTGCCTGTCAGCGCTTTTGGGTCTTTAAATAGCCGTCCGGGGGAAATCCCGGACATTTTTAGCTTTTTACAAATTCCCCCCAGATGGCTATTTAAAGACCCAAAAGCCGGACATGTCCGGGGAAACCTGGACATATGGTAACCCTACTCCACTGCTTCCCCTCTGTCCGGGCTCCCGGCAGAGCAGTGCCCCCAGGTAGAGTGGTGCCCTAGGCGGCTGCCTGTTCTGCCTGTGGTCCTCTGTATGGCACCTACCACTCTTTTGGACACCCAGGGTGAAACAAACCTTCACCATTTAAACAACTGCAAGTCCCTCATTCTTTCCTTGCCCAGCCATCCTGGCTAATTGCTGATTTTGAAAACTCAGGGGACTGCTTGTGCATCCTCCTTCGTGAAATACAATAACAAAAGGCCAGTTTAAATAAAAATCAAATCAATATTTCAACATTTTTTAGGGTTAGGGTCATGTATCCAGATCTGTCTCTTATTTTACCCTACCTAGTTTTACTAAAGCTTACAAGTTAAAGGGCTTCAATCCTGTGAGATGCTAGGCATAATCAGATCTCCAGCATTGAGGGTGCTCAATACCTCCCCTGAGGGGTTCAGCACCCTGCAGGATTGTGCCCAGAAGCTAGTTTAAAATGGTTGCTGTGCCAAGTGAAATTCCTGTTCACTCCAATCAATCACATGGATAATTACAGATTGGGTCACTCTGCCTGTCAAAACCATATGTTTGCAATATCCCTTTCCCACAGATTCTCCAACAGCTTACCATGGGAGTAGCTTCTAATACAAAAGTATTTCCATCTGTTTGAGATAAGACACAGGGCTACATAGACCATTGGTCTGTGCTGGTTTGTCTATTTGTGTTCCTGTCAGGAAATTAATGTATCTATCCAGTGCTCTGACATGAATGTGCACTTTGTTTCTTTGAATTATAAATGCTTCACTCATAAGCCCGTTCCCTGGGACTATACACTATTCCTTACTCTATTGCTGTTCTTCAGATGTTCTACTCCAAAGGGAACTCTTAAGGACAGCTGAGTTTTGGGGGATTCTGAACCAGTTTAAGTTGGAATACATAGTTCTAAAGAACAACATTGATGGCCTTTGGAGAGTTAGACTCTGAACATCATGTCTAGCACATGGTGTAATGGGCACTTTCTTTTGGATGTGGATGCATCAACAAAATGTACATCATCCCCCTACAGAAAACTCATCCGTGGGTAACGATATGCAATCAGTGGATCAAATGCAATGTGTATGATTGATGTGGGGTTTATGTATGCAATGTGGGGCTGTGTATTTTGGCAGGCACACCCACAGCTGAAAATGTGGCTCTTGATATAAATGCCTCAACTCCCCCTGAACTGGAGAGCAGATCTATGGCCTGCCATCATTCTAAACAAAAAGTGGTTGATGTAAATTTTCAGAGGTGAAGAGGCCTCACAACTCCTAATGGCTTCAGTGGGAGTTGTGGGTATTCAGCACCTCTGAAAATGAAGCCTGGCTCTGCATGATAAAAAGTCAGGGCTGCCCAGAGGATTCAGGGGGCCCAGGACAAAGCAATTTCGGGGGCCCCTTCCATAAAAAAAAGTTGCAATACTATAGAATACTATATTCTCGTGGGGACCCCTGTGGGGCCCCGGGCCTGGGGCAAATTGCCCCCCTCCTCCACCCTCCCCCGCGGGCGGCCCTGTAAAAAGTTAAAAGTCAGTTTATTGAAGAGAGCACTCCCATCAGCACCAGTGACCTTACTTGTTACTAAGGCAGGGGTCTCCAATTTCCTGGTCACACAGTGGGCCTGTCCAGCCTGGGTGACACTCACAGATAACGCTTGTCTTCTCTATGGACCGGCAGATGCCATGCTTGCAGATGTTACAGGATTTGCAGCCAGGAAGGACTCCTAATGACTGCTGGGGTAGATCCTTAAAGTCCTGCAGCTCGTTATTAATGCGGACATCATGGATACATCCATGAAAGCCGTTTGACATCCTATCTGTTCCTTGGCGCAATGAAGATAGCCCAGTAGATGTTGGGATCCCTTCAGAGAAAACAAAATATAAAGATTATCTTGCATTCACAATAATACTAGAATAAATTATAATGGCTAGCACCTTCCCTTTGAGGATTCCAAAGTCCTTCATAAACAATAATGAATTCAATTTTAGGACACCTCTTTGCAGTAGTTCAGTATCATTATTCCCATTTTGCAGATGGGGAATTGGAAGGGCAGAAAGATAAAAATACTTGCCCAAGAATGCACAAAAAGGTGGCAGAGCAGTGAATAAAGTCCAGCTCTCCGGACTCACAGCCCTGCATTTCAACCATTAGATCATGGTTCTTCTATTTATATTTTTATAGCAACTTTAATCCCAAAGTTCTTTAGAAATTATTTAAGAATTTCTTAGTTTGCCAGTGAAATGCTGCTACCTCTGCAATGCAACAAGAAAGCTAACAGTACTCAGCAACAATATGCAACAATCAGGACTGGAAATAGTAATGTATCCAGTTAAAACTATTGCAGGAGAAATCTACACAGGCATAAAACAGCTATTCATATTGGATGGAACACTGTGACTAACACTTGTTAAAGTGCCTTGGGACATTTAGTGAGGCTACGTCCTCACTACGGGGGGAGGGAAGGTGTGTCGATTTAAGATACGCAAATTCAGCTACGCGAATAGCGTAGCTGAATTCGACGTATCAGAGCCGACTTACCCTGCTGTGAGGACGGCAGCAAATGGACCTCCGTGGCTTCCCCATCGACGGCGCTTACTCCTACCTCCGCTGGTGGAGTACAAGCGTCGATTCGGGGATCGAATGTTGCGTCCCGACGAGACGCGATAATTCGATCTCCGAGCGATCGATTTCTACCCGCCGATTCAGGCAGGGTAGTGTAGATGTAGCCTGAGTATAACTGGGGACATCCTTGGTTTTACATTGCACTTAAAACATGATCCTTATAGAGTCTTCATGGAAGTAACATCACATTAGTCCTTTGAATTTATAAAGCTCTCTGTCAAATGTTTATGCTTTCAATTATAAAAGGACAGAATTTTGCAATACGTCTAGAGAGGAGCTATGTTTAGCAGAGCTATGTTAGGAAGACATTGAGCTTGCAAAGGGAAGTAGTCAAAAACCGAAACTACTTTAATTCTCCCCATTATATGCTTATGCATTACAAAAGTCTAATTACATGAACTTTTAATGCTTATTTCCATAGGACATACTATTTATGTTTATAGAGCTGTATCTCTTACGCAGATTGGGTGGTTCATGGGTAGGGTGACCAGATGTCCCGATTTTATAGGGACAGTCCCGACTTTTGGGTTTTTTTCTTATATAGGCTCCTATTACCCCCCACACCCGTCCTGATTTTTCACACTTGCTGTCTGGTCACCCTATTCATGGGAGATGTTCTCATAGCTCTGCTGCCAGATCATCTCTGCTGTATGAGGCTCTTTAATCTCTGACATTCTTTATATGAGCCAACTGTTAAGGTTCAGCTCTGGCCAAAACAAGATTATCCAGTTTCAGATTTGTGAGGATAATAATTCAGCGGCCACGTAGAAAAGGGATTATTCACAAAGGGACTGATCCAGCACACAGTGAAGCCAAAGGGAATTTTTACCATCAGCTTCAATGGTTTTTGGATCAGGCCCAATGGCCCTTAGGAGTCCATTATAAACCTGCAGCCATTTGTGCTTGTTTTTAATCTAGTTAATTCGGAAAAACCACAGCTGAAGAGCAGATGCTCCCTATCCAATCCAAATTCTGCCATGCCCTTCACTCCAGTATCTCCATGCGTACCCTGCATGGCTTCACAGACTGTTGAATTAACAAGGCTACTAACATCTTGTCAGACCATAATGTTGGAATGTCTTATTTTTTTAATCTCTTAATGTCTTTATTCCAGGCAAATCATTTTCATAGCAGCAACATGATTTGATGGGAGATGCCAGCTGTATTATTAGCTGAAGAAACTTGGAAAATTGTCGAGGGCTCAGCTATTGTTGCGAAGAGTGATTGAACATACCTCCAATGTAGAGCGGGGTATTGATGCTGACTGTGGGTTGTTTCTGCAGTTTGCCAAGACTCTTGGGGGTTCCTTTATCCACAACCAAGTTCAGTGTTTGGTTCAGCATAACCAACTCCACACTGTGAAACTGCCCATCATTTATTGTTTCCACACTAAAGGAGAAAACAAAGAAGGGAAAGAATCAGAAGGAGCTTAGCTGTGACTTTCTTGCTTACAGGCAATCACCCACTTCTACCCTTGGAAAGAAAATGGCAAACGGTTGGCTGCTTTGCAGTCAATTGTCTTTTTTATACTAAGCACTTTGCTAAGGGTAAAGAACTTAAAAGGTGCAACTTCAAACCTGTGTCAACTCTCATGTAATCAATACATATACAGATTCAACTCTTGAGATGCTTGTTAGTTACTGGGGAGGCTGGGAGGATTAGAAACAATTTGTGGGCTGGGAAATAGTCAATTAACATGACACGAAAATGAACTCCATATTTGTTGTTTCTAAACCTACAGATATTTTTATATGTGAAAAGAGTTTCAAATAAGTTAGGCACACAATCTCTCCAATAATTGCACATACTAAATGTCAGTTTAGATCACTTGTACAACACATAAAATTACCTGTTCTTCACATGCAGTCAGAGCAATTACACAGAAATTAGGAGCACAATTGTGCACCTAAGCTTTTCTGAACCCTAGCCCACCCGATACATTGGAATACATTTTATCCGTAGAGCAACTTAAACTCTCAGCCCTGTAAGTTGCACACTGCAGTGCCATGAAACAATATGGAAATTTCATTCCACTCCAAAGTGCAGAGAAAAGAGAGAGAGAGATAGGAGAGGGATGCAAAGGATAAACAAGGGATTAACTGCTCCTTGACAAATCAGTGGGTTTTTCAAAGTGCACTCATCGTGAAGGAAGTGAAGAGATTTTTCCACTGATGCAAATTTAACAAAACATTATAGTCTCTCTTCATTGTACACATGTGAACTTTAATACATAATAAGATACTAATAGTAATGGCTACAGCAGGTGTTAAATAATGCGCTATGTAAGCTACTCATGCACTCAGCTTTGCTAATGAATATCATTCTTGACCAGCTGCAAGCCTTGTCCAGTGCCAGGCCTCTCCTGAATAGACTCCCAAGTTGTGTGATGGTTCTTCCAGGAAAGCATGAGGGCAAAAAACGTTGTGTGGGAGTGAAGAATTCCAAGATGTTGCTTAGTCTAGAAAACTAATTTGGAGTTGCTGGACAAAACATGGTGACAGATGAATAGAAGTGCATCAACTCATTTATTCTCAGTCAACCGGACCATATGCCCAGCTTCATATAGCTGATTAAGTTAAAAGTATATAGGGGCCAATCCTGAGCCACTGATGTCTATGGAAATTTTGGCCTTTAAGATGAGACATTTAGAAACAAGATACTCAAAGGAGGAAGTGACAAAAATTGACTTGTTCATGGAATAGTTACAATTCTACAACAGCCACAATAGACCTGGTACAGCTGATAATATGCAAACAGGATTAGGCAGAAGCCACCAATATGGAGACTTCTGAGGAACACCAGGGTACACAGGGAAGTGGTATTGCTGACTCAGTAGGTAACATTCTGAGAAAGGACTGAACCAATGCCCCAACACAGTGGTGGAGGTCTTGTGCTGGGAAGGGCTTCCGGATGAAAGAGGACATGAGCACTTGTGGTTATTAAAGGTCATGTGAAATTTTATGGAAGTTTGAGGTGCTTAGATACTATGACACCATATAAGAAACCAGATAGACATATAGTGGATTCACGTTAAAATGTCGTAAAAGTACTTCTTCTGCAGAACAATTCCCACAGAAATGATGCTTATGGAACTTTGTGAACTTGCATTTCCAGTGAGTCCTTTGTGTTGTGTTTGTTGTACATTCTTAGGATGGAGAGAGGACTCTGGGGAGGCAGGTATTGGTAGTTTGCACTTGGTGCTGCTGTAGTTCTCTCTGAGACCTAGAAGTGTTCCTTAGGGAAAAGAGACCTCACACCACACAGAGGTCTAAGACTTATTTAGCTGCATTCCTAAAAGATTTGATAGAACAGATTAAACCAGTTTCCTGGACAAATTCCATCTGGTCATATTTTACCAATTGAAATTCCCTCTGCAGTGTCTGTTGGACAGAGTGGTGTTGACATATTGCTATAAACTGCTGCTTAGATGTTCTTGTGTGCTATCTTATATCTGCCAAATTCCACCGAGGAGATGGCTATGTTTCAGTGGTGGATGAAATGACCCGTATATATCCCATGACAACCTCAGAGGATATTCTGAGGCTTAATTCATATTTATAAGCATTTTGAGATTCTCAGAGCAAAGATGTTATACAAATGCAAAGGCATATTTTTAATTGTTAAACTCTGTAGATAAGTCAATGAGAAAGGAAGAAGAATAGGCAAAAATATTTGCTCTGAAGCATGTGCGTTGAGGAGCAAGGATGAATGGCTGTTTAATAAGCAACCCCGTCCTAGTAGGATCGATGTCTGAAGATGAAACAAGACTACATTCTTATCTGAAGAAGCCCAAGCTGTGATTATATGGTAGAGGACAACATTATCACATTTGGCAGTGCTAGTTCTTATTTGGGCCAGGACTTCACAGACATTAATCATTAACTCCTCCACAGCATAAGGTTTTCCAGATTAGGGCTTAAGTGCTTTGATTAACAGGCAAATGGAGGCCCATGTGTCCTGTTGATGCCTCTAAGCTTCAATCCCTAATTCTTCACTGTTTTTAGTGTACTCAGAGCTAACATTTTAGCTCCAGTGGGGAACTAGAGGTAGGGAGGGCTTCTCTGGTGCCATTCTGAAGTTGTAACTGGCTGGAAGTTGTCAAATTCCAACCTTTCTCCTTTAACCCACCAAAGAAAAATCTTTCATGCCCAAACTTTGCGAAACAGAAAATCATTTGTTGCCCTAGCCAACCATTTCAGTTTTATGAAGCTGACAAAGTCGAAACAGCCTGAGCACACATTTTCTTTTAAAATAAATGCTCATACACAAGGAAGGGGCCAAATGCTAACACCCAAAGGAAAAGGGGCTCTGAGAAAACTGAGATAGTGGATAAATCAAAGCATTTGTTGTTGTTGACAGAAGAGACTTTTAAAAGGCTTTGGATTCTGAGAGAGACACACACAGAATAAGGGTGAGGGGGAAGTGCTACGTGAATTCTTCCTTACAGCTTAGTGTGCCATTGGGCCTCTAGGAGACTCAGCAATCGTCTGAGACAGTTGGAGACAGTGGCTTGGCGAGAGATAAAGGGAAGAAAGCCACAGATGCTGAACAGTGCATTGTAACTGGGCTCAGCACAAACTTGCTGTGCTCTGCTTTTTTCAAGGGGCTTCTTCTCGACCTGGCTCTCTGTGAGGTTTTTATTAAAATGCTAATTGAATTCTTATTGGTGATCAGGTGGTTTTACAGCTTATACACCTGAAACAGTCCTCAGTATATAACTACCTACCTGAGTCAGGGATTTGTTGCCTTTTATTGGTATTTATGTTCTACAAAGCTACAGAGCACTATGCCAGAGGCATTTGAGCTTTTAAACCTGCCATGTTGACACTGGTAATGATGTGACAAACATGACTGGTAGAATACAGTAAGGTGTAACCATTTTATGTATCTGCAAGGTCCAGAGGCAAGAACTCAGAAAAGGCAGCTGTGTTCACTGTGATGCACAATGTACTCTAAAAGTCTACCACTAGATGGAGATGCAGCATCACAGAAAGGCTTGTCAAGTTTGAGAAACCATCCATTGATATTTTTGTATTCTTCCAATTCCTCATTCCACACCAGAATGTTAACAGCTTGATACACAAATGAATATTGCATGAGGTTATACAGTCAGGATACACAGCTACAAAAATTAAAACATTACAGGATGGGGTTGAGGGTTTGTTTTTGCTTGTTAGAATTTATTGACTAAAAATAAGTTACACACCTGCTGGCTGAGATTACACAGTTTGTCCCTTTTTGCAAATGCTTTTGTGATATGTGATTAAACCATAATCACTTATCTGAACAAATGTGGAGGGAGTGGAGTCAGGGTAAAACATGAGCTGGATCAGAACCAACTCTGGTTTTGGAGTAAAAAAAACAAGTGCTAACTCTTGAGATTTTCCAGCCGATTAAAATCCAGTCCTGAACTTTTCATCTTGGGCAGCTTCCAATGGAACAATTACAGTATTGTGGGCCTTTACCATAGAATACCCTAAGTTTATAATAGATACTTATTAAATAAAGGAAGGAAATATTTTAAATGTAAACATCTGAACGATGAGCAAGGGTTGTCATGAATTTGATTTAACAGCACAATTTGCCCAAAAGTAAACAGTAGAAAGAGCCTACACACCAGTTTTATATCCAAAATGTGGGAATCGCCTCATCAACTGTCATAAACAGTCTGTTAAGGACCCCATGTTGGTCACCGACAGTTCACTGATTTTTACTATATGTAAGGGGACTGTTGCCCCCTCACTAACACTCAGTGGGGGTGTTTTGGTTGGCTAGCTCCCAGCACTAAAAGGGGAAGGGTCGATGGGAAATCAGGAGCCTGAGACTGACAGTCCCCAGGAACAATGGGGAGAGGCCAATGCTCCAGATCAGCCTGATTGACAGGGCGGGCAGGCTAAGCAGGGAGTCAGGAGTCCAGAGGGGTCCAGTCCTCTGTGTGAACTGGAATGGCCTGAGTCAGACAGAGTGGGGCCGAGCTAAGGAGAGAACAGGGGCCCGACCTAAGCTGCTAGGAGCAGAGCTGCAGCCCCAAAGCCAGAGCACAGCCCAGAGAGAGCAGACCTGCCCTGGGAGCAGAGCTGCAGCAACCAGAGCCAGAGGGGCCAGACAAGCAGCCAGGAAGCAGGTCAGAGCTGGGAGCAGAGTCACAGAAGCAGCCTGCAGAGCCGACCTGTCCTGGGGACAGAGCTGTAGCAACCAGAGCCAGAGAGCCCAGGGAGCTGAAGGCAGAGCAGCAGCAGCAGCCGTGCTGAGGCAGAGTGGAGCTGGAGCTGGAGCCGGGGCTGGAGCCGTCCGGAGCTGGGTGCGGTGAGCAGCTGCGGAGAGTGAGCGGGACCCTGGGCAGTGGGCCCAGCACAGATGGACGCCTCAGCCAAGAGGCCTTGCAGGCCAGACTTGGAGGGGGATCGTAACCCTGACCGGGCACGGGCGACGCTGCCACCTAGAGCCTGAGAGAGTGTGGCCACCGCCCGAGCAAGTGTCCAACCCGCAGTGTCTCTGCAGCACAGCCAGGGCCTGAGAAGGAGGCCTGGGACCTACAAGGAACAGACTGT